CCCTAACCCTAACCCTAACCCTAACTCTAACCCTAACTCTAACCCTAATCTTAACCCTAACACTAACCCTAACCATATCAGCTAGATAGTTACCAGGGTACGTTCCGGCAGTACCCTGGGGGACATAGACCCTATCAGCTATAGTATCAGTGATAGTATGGCCCCGTGGACTTTGTAGACTAAATAGTAATATTCACGAGGTTACTGCGGTTCAAGAAGGAAAAGAATCATATATGACAAAAAAAAAAAAAATTGAGATAATTTAAACTAGATACATTTCGAAAGCAATAATTATATAAAGAGATATAAGTTTTGCATGAAGAAAGAAATTTAAGTTGAATCAAAACAACCTGGGCATTATCCGGATAGTTTTTGGATATCCATCTCGCAGCTTTATACTGTACGGACATCTAGTTTGGAACAGTTCTAAAGCGTAAGGAGCATTACCCTGACAAAGGACATCCCAATATAGATAACCTTGCGATGATTATTCTTCAAAGTCCAAGTGACTATATGCCAAAGATGGCGAGAGACAAAGTTGATTGGGTTAAATTGTTAGATCAATCTATTTGGCTAAGGAAATTTTATAGCAAACTACTGCAGACTATGTTCTCTACACTTTGAACTCACAAGATCAATATAATAGCCCAGGCTCTTTAGAGTAATTTCTGTATCATATACATATCCTGATATGTAGGGTTCTCCAAGGGCACTTATAGCCTGGCGGCCTGCCAGGCTATCGTCGACCCCCGCCATCCTAAAATGCACCCGCCACTCCAAATATCATAGCCGCCATGCTGGTGTATACACAAGAAGTTCAAACGACGGTCTTGATTCTACGGGTACGGCAGTCCCACACACAAGTACAAACAGTCTCCCTATCCCTAACCCTAACACTAACTCTAAACCGACTCGGCTAGATCTTATATACGCGTGTTATAGTACCAAAATTAATCTATGGTGTATAACCTTTTGCTTTCAATATTTTGCATCTGAACTGACAATCAATCCCAACCAACTGGTGTAGGCTAGCTGGCACAATAATGTTCATTTTCATACTTCAAATCCGAGTGTTTTCTAGCTCGTCAAGAAATAATTATTTTGAATTATCCGATGGCTTTGCCCATGCAAAACAAACATTTTAACCCCACATGCAGTGCTTCAAATTTACACACAGAGTGTCCCAGATTGCATCTCAGAGCTTCTACAATTCAAAAATTCTCATGGGGGCATGCTCCCGGACCCTCCTAGCAGTGAGTAGCACCCCCATGCTATAATTTTAAAAGCTTGGAGAACCATGCATAGTATTATATATAGTATATTTATATATATATGTGTGTGTGACAGTGTGTGTGTGTCAGTATGCGTCTGTGAGTGAAAGGTAGTTTTATTTGGATTTAACTTGGTTTTATAATCTAATACGGAAACATAACAGGTGTACCCCTCACACTCAAGCTAGACTCTCCCTACAGTCTCACTAATTCTATGAGTATTGATATTCTTTTCAATCACTTGTCACGTCGCCCTCTCCCTACAGCTTTCTAGCTTGTCGCCGTCCGCCGCCTCTTCACATACACTTCTCGCAGCCTTTGTTTGTGTCCAGCTATACGCTTCAGGCCCACTTTTCAACTAGGTCACGTCTGCGTACACCTACATACATGCTTATAGACAGTATACCAGGTGTACTTAAGCACATCCTTGACCGCGTGTAGTGTTACATCACTGCGTCACACGACAACAGACGACAAGGTATCGTGTGCTGTGATGAGAGAGAGAGAGAGAGAGAGGGGGGGGGGGCAGCAGTGGAAGCATCATATATTGTTCCCTGTGTAGTTGGGTATTGTAGCACGCCCGCGTGCTTAGCTGTGAAATTCTTTTTGCTTTTCATGTTGACTTATATTCGCATGTAGTTGTGTGGTGTCGTATGCCGTGTAGGTGTGGGTGCATTAACTGTGGAATTCTTAATTTTCTGAGTGCAGCGTGCGGATGTATTCTTTGGTCTGTATGATTTCCCACAGATATTGTCACAGTAGTGTTATTATTATAGTTTGCTAATTTAATAGCCGGTAGATGGCGCTGGGAGTCTATACTCAACTAACGAGGCGGGTGGTGCACTGATCTCTACTATACTAATATAATAAGTTATATATAATTATTTGTTACGTATAATAGAGATCAGTGGGCGGGTGTAGGAGCCGCTGATCCGTATACAATAACATATATTATATGATTATGTTATTATCAGGAGTCTATCAATAGGAGTCTATACGAGTCTATAGGAGTCTATACGAGTCTATTGATAGATTCCTGTTATTATGTAATATTATGTAATGTGTTACATGTTATTATATACAATACATAATTATTATATTCCCATGTAGTTGTGTGGTGATGTATGGCCTGTAGTAGTTGTTCGTGAATTAGCTGTGTTGTTCGTTATTGCTTTTCCCTGTTGTCCATATATTCCATGTGTGTTGGCGTATGCCTGTAGTTGTGATCCCGACCCGGGGGGGGGGGGGGGGGCTACATGGTTCCCGTTGGTAGCACTAATTGTTTATGCAATTTTTCCTTCCTTGTCTCAGCCCATTAATTAAATATGTCTTAAAAATATTTATGTTATTGTTATTAAAACTATTTATTGTTCCGATAACATGGTTTTTACCTTGGTTTTCCAACGATCAAATTATCAGACTGATTTTCTACAATTTTTTTCCCTTTAATCGCCCAAATAATATTTACGACTGTTCTACCCATAATTGTCTCGTGACGCTGGAGTGAAAATGGACCTATATATTGTGGACCGTGTAATGAGTCCACCCTTCAAACATCTATGTTTGAACATGACGCCTGAGAATGTCTCAAAGTTTATTGTAAACAGTCCAGAGAAACTGGGAAAAAATCACAAGATGGAATATCCGCCCCTTGTTCCGCCGATCGATGGAAAAACAGAGTTCCCTTGTTCCCAAAAATCTTAATATAGCAGTTCCCGTTGTCCTGAACAATATTCGGAACAATATCCCCTGTTCCCTGCATAAGTTAATGCTCGCAGTTCCCTTATGTTCCCTATACCCCGTGAGGAGGGTCTCAAGCTGTGGGTGTTTAGATGTGAAATACTCGATGTTTTGAGTGGCAGGCGCCTATACGCGAGTTCAGGCGTATGGTACTATTATTATAATGGTCTGTAGCATGATTATTGATCGCTGTGGTGTATATAACAGCTGCGTTACACCAGAGAACGTTAACTTCGAGTTAATAGCGTCTACACGGGCCTTAACTCGAGTTTAGGTAACGATGATAAGCTTAACCCTCGCGCAGTCGATCGAGGTTTAAGGCTAACTCGAGTTAAGGCCGGTGTAGACGCTTAACTCGAGTTTACGCTTAACCTCCACAGAGCGGCAGCATAGTAGCGATATGTAACGTACACACGCACCGTATCGCACGCCCGCTCATGCGGCGTGTTTTAGTGTAGACGCACATAAAACCGCTACTCGAAGTTAGCGCTATATAATTACTCAATTAAGGTTCGTCGTGTAGAAGACGTAGCTATAATGTCACTGTAGTGCAGGCGTTCTTTTAATGGGAGGAAACATGAATTAAAAGCTTTATGCGCTGGGCAACTTTGGTGCGTCGTGTCTGTCTTATGCGTGTNATATCAAATAGTGACCAGGGTACGTTCCGGTATACCGGACCGTACCCAGGGTACGTTCCGGCAGTACCCTGGGGGACATAGAACCCTATGAGCTCTAGTAACAGGTTGCATGGGGTCATACGCTGCATGGGCAAATAAGGATAAATGAGGTACAAGTGTTCGACTGGTGTGTGTAGGGATACTGTACCAGAGTGACTGAGACTTCTATGCAGTGGTTTAGAACAACAGGCGTTATTGTTGTGCACTATTGTTGTAATCATTGTTGTCATTATTGTAATAGATGTAACTGTTACAACAGTTTGTGGGTGTGATTGTTGTCCTATTGTTGTCACATTGTTGACCTAACTGCTGCTGTGATGCTCTAGGAGTCAACAAGTTAGTTATGAGTCAGTAACAACAAACTGTCTGTTGTAATGTCCTGCGAAATTGTCTATTGTCTAGTATAAGTCACAGTGTCAGTGTCAGTGTGTGGAGGAACAAACACCATGCCGCCTCCTCTGTTGTGCGTTTCAGGTTGACTGCAAAGATGTTGGGGAAAATGCACTCGATAAAGCCGGCCGCAGGGGAGCTGGTACAGCCTTGCCTGTTCAGAGTGCTACATAAGTGGCTGTCTCTGGTGCCTGAGGGATTTGCAGACACTGCCAAGAATGAAAGGTAGGTTCTGAGTGTGCAGGATCAGTCTCGGTGTGCAAGATTGGTTGGTTGGCCAAATACCAGTTTAGCTTCCAAATGGTGTTTGTGTTTCCACTGGGGGCAGCCCTATAGACCGAAGGTCCGATAGACCGAAGGTCTGATAGACCGAATGTTGCAAAGGGTTAGGGTTAGAGTTAGGGTTACGGTTAGGGTTAGGGTTAGGGCATATATATGGTTTATAGTGGCATCATATGATTTATAGTGGCATCGGTGGATGTGCGGATGCGTAGCCTGGAGGGTATGCGACCGATTCCGGACGTGTAGCCACTGCGTATTCGAATAAACCTTCGGTCTATCGGTCCTTCGGTCTATAGGACTGTAACCGTACTGAATTTCAAGAATTTCCTAAACCAAACAATAATTCCACAATCTTTCAGGACCCGTAGGCTATTTTACAGGGCTCCCCTCGTCTGAGATATCAACACTCCACTACTCTCCAGAACCTGTGTAAGAACCCTAGTCATGGAGCATGTGGTGTCAAGGGACAGGTAGAGTGGAAACGGTTACAGTCCTATAGACCGAAGGTCCGATAGACCGAAGGCCCGATAGACCGTACAGATTCACCGTATAGATAGACCGTACAGATAGACCGTATAGATTCAGTACGTCTCTTTCTGGTATGTGGGGCAGGTTGCTTGCTTGTAGTCTAGTACCAGTGATGGGCAAGATTGGTGACAGTAGATTCCTAGCAGGTGACGGCTTGACAGTCCAGACACAGTCATGACAGGAACATGGGTCGTCATCATCGCTGCAGATTATGCAGCAAAGCTATGATCATGTACATAAGATAGTGGCTGTATGAATTACATCAGGAGCAAAGAAAAACAATTTTAACTCCCTGATTATATTAAATTGTAGCATATACACATCACGCGCGCGCGCGTGTGTGTGTGTGTCAGTGTCTCTCTCTCTCTCCTCTGTGCGTTTGCGTGTGCGTGTGCGTGTGCGTGTGCGTGTGTGCGTGTGCGTGTGCGTGTGCGTGTGTGTGTCTGTCTGTGTTTTTTGAGTGGGCGTGTGCCGTGGTGCGTGTGTATGAGTTTTCATTTCCATATTCGTGTTAATCACATTTTGTAATTTGATTGCACTATGCGTTTGACAATAGTTAACGTAATCTGTGTGCAGCATAGGGCAGTTTAACTCTCCTCTCATTCTCTCTCGCGATTGCGTATCGTAGATACAGAACGGCAGCGTACGCAAACATAAGAGACTCTGCGAACAGAAAGTAGAAGTGGTGGAGCGGCATTTAGAGGACCTCGATTCTCGCGTCGTATTGCGCACAAACGAACTTGCTGCTTAAAACAAATTGTATACAACAAAAGTGAAGGTACTGGAAGATGTCTAGGTGATGTGGTAGCCACGAATATATAACATATATAGAAGTAAAGTCACACCACGAACAGCGCCGTGTAGATAAAAACAAAGATATAAAAACCATTTATTTCTATACTTTGACTTTGTTTTTATATACATAATTTTATTATTTTATATTTTATAATTTATATATATATATTATAATAATATATACATTATGTACACGTACTTGCACTGAAACGTGGGTGGAATATGCTATCGTTATAAGATTGGTAGTTTAGGCGGCATCACAGATAAAACGACAGTGCACTTCAATCCCGGGCCTGGAGGGGTGTTGTAAAATGTTTTGGGGCAAGGTCACAGGTTCCATCATCACACAACTCACTGTGCAACGAACGACGTTGCATGGGACAGACTAGGAAATCCAGAATCGAGCGGTGGAGTCACATCAGTTGACGGCGATGGATATGGGAATCTAGTGCAGACTTTGAGTACATTATCCTTTACAAATTGATCACTTTGTTTGTACCTGGTGAAAAACCCTTTGCAAAAAATAACACATTGACATTAAATTAAGCGCAGAATGATTTTTGCATGACAATGTGTTATTCTCAAAAAATAATGACAGAAACTTTCTGTATTCTTTAAAGAAAATGTATTATACGACTACGGCATGGAAGGCATATGTTCGTAGACGTTCCTTCGCTTACTCTGTAGGATATCCTATTGCCTATACACTACAAAACACAATGCTTGGCAAGTTGGCAATCAAGTGCCACAATGTCGACAACGCGGCGATGATGAGCTTGGCCGACATAGCAACAGTAAATCCAGAGAGAGCATGATACGAAGATTGGCGCGTGGGCACACGTGCGTTCCGGCGCGCGCTTGGGATGAGCCGCGCCAGGTTCCGCGGGATATGGCCGACGGCGAGCCGCGGGGATGGTTCAAGTATGGCGCTGTCCGCAGTGAGACGTCGTGCCAAATCGAGGCCCGCGCACGTCTCCACAGCGTTCACGGATGGTTTGTCTAGTTTTAGAAGATGAACAATGAATTATATTTGACGATATTGTAGGAATTGGAGATTATAAAACCGTAACTAAAAATTGCTCAGTCATTCTCCAATTAGCTTGAAATCAAAAAAGATTAAGAATTTAATATGAACAAAAACAAATCAATGGTTATAAAATTCACAAAACAAAGAAAGGATAGAGAATTTAATAGGCAACGCACAGTAATCAAAAAATGCACCAAATATCATACCTAGGGGATTTAATTAAGATCATAGAGAGGTTATAACGATATGATGAGTCCGAACCTAAAAATAGTAGATTGCACGAACGGGGAAACTTTATCATGGCAGAAGAGCCAAATTATTGGATCAGTCTTGAACAAAGAGTGCAAATTATAGCGAATGCAACAGTTTGACCTACCTTCCTAATACACGTGAGTGGACTAACTTACTAGGAAAAAGTAAAAAATGTTGGAGCATATCATCCAAAATGAGTGCCTCGCAAAATAATAATCACAGCAGATAAACCTACCGAAAGCATTGAAAACGATGAAAACTCCAAGCGAAAGATACGGAGAAATGAGTAAAAATAACATATTAGTTTCTATAACTAAATCGTTGTAAATACATAATTAATAAATTGCATAATTTTATTTGAAAATCCACTATATTACTTATAAAAAATCCAAGAAGATGCGCTGTGGCATGTAATACATTAGTTACCCCCGATTAGCCTCCGAAAATTGTGTGTTGCCTGCGAAATGCATCGGCCGGGCATTTCATTATTTAGGAAAAGTAAATAGGCCGGCGAAATACTGTGGAGATCTCGGGGGTGTATCACGTACAGGAGTAGTAGACTAGATCGGGACCAATAGACTGAACTCACCGTATAGAGAGAATAACCATATATATTGACTAAAGAGAGGATAAGATATAGATTGCACATAGATATATGTCAACACGCACACCCTTGGGCGCAGCCATATTGGATCATACTGCTGCTGCCGCCTGTCGGGCGAAAACGAGAAATATTCACTTAGGAACGAGTTGCCTGCGATGACGCAATAATCGGTGCCAAGCCACGGGCGGGTCGGGTTGCAACATCGCAATGAGTCATGCACGGTACGGCCAGGTACGGAGGGCGCAACGCCCTAGGGGGGGTGTTGCCAGCGGGTATAAAAGGAGCACAGAATCGCAGCTCAGGGAGTTTAGGTACAGGTCCAGGAAGAAGAGGAAGAGGAAGAAGAAGGAGAGGAAGCAGCCGAGGACGAAGAGAAATAGGAAGAGGCAGTTTTAGGTACAGGTCCAGGAAGGAGGAAGAAGAAGAAGAAGAGGACGAAGACGAAGGAAAGGAGGGAGAGAGAAGCAGTCGAACGGGAGGAGAAAGGGAGAGAGTTGTTTTCAGGGATAGGTTATAGGTAGGAAGGCGAGGAGAGGGAGGAAGGAACAGAGAGAGAGCGAACGGCAGCGTTGTAGCGAGAGGATAGACGCACAGGTTTTTCAGGTGGGTGTAAACCAGAGCCGAACGGGAGAGGGAAATAAAACGGGCGAAGAACGGCATTCTGGTAGAGCTGGGAGCGACTGCGAGGGAGACACCTGCGAGACTGTGTGGGTCCACGCAAGGCAAGGACGAACGGGAGGGAAGCCGACGGAGCCGACGGAGCCGGCGACGCGTAGATATTAGACGGAATCAATAAAACTATTAAAAGGTCCGCTGCATATACGAATGCAGGGGAATCATTTGTACATTAGTAACACGCAATAAAAGTTATATCACCGTATCGTTAACCGCATCTCACCGTGTTCTGTTCATCTGGTACTACCTATTATCGGCTACGTGTCATCTCCGTCCTGGCCTTAATACACCGACAGGAGCGGACTCTGAATCCCACTACTGGACACGCGTTGTGAACTAACGTCTGTCGAACCGTAGTCGTCTACCCTAGAGGCACTACAATACGGTAGGCACAGCAATGGCAGGTACGGTAGGTAACGTCGGTGACACCCCATTCATGTCCATCAACGAAGAAGGTGGAGCTTATTCTGTTTACGGAGATGCCAAAAATACAAAAGAAAGACCTATCGCAGTGCGCTAAACAGCGTGTTATTTTCGTTTTTGTGCCAAACTCTATCGTAGGAAACCGTTCTAGCGTAGCAGAATGCCCTAGTTCGTGAGATCGGCGATTCCGTGCCGTAATAGGTATTATAGCTAAAAGTTAGGAGATAAGGGGGCGGCGTAGACTGTGATTGGAAGACACAAAGTGTCAATCCTCGGCGAGCGCCTCGGCATCATGGCCGCATCAAAGACCAGGGGTCAATTAAAATGAAGTTACATGGAAACAAAATATTCTGTAGGTCTCTATAAGAACCTCGGATGTTTCAGCGCTTGCATGCTTGCCCACGATCAACCAAGACTAGTCAACAAATCACTACAGTCATTGCAATAAATTTCGCAGCGAAAAAACCCATTGATAGATTTCGTGGCATAGGGAGGCGTGGTTAAGTTGAGAGGTGTGGTTGATTAATTAGCAGACAGTTAAATGATGTGTTGTACTTTTGTTTTCAGGCACAGTGACGTTCATAGATTACGAGTATGGGGACTTCAACTACCAGGCGTTTGATATCGGGGGCCACTTTGCAGAACATGCAGGTATTTATCAGAAGAGGATAACTAACAGCAACTTCTACTGTACATAGCCAGTATATAACAACTATATATAACATGGCATTGTATACATATATAGTACAGATACATTGTATGTATACATTGTATGGATAAATCGTCACCCAGCCGAGTCGCGAAACAGTGGATCCTCTTGGACATCTCCTCAGTCTGCAGACCCTGTTTCACATTCCACTTACGCCCATCGCTGTCTTTCTCGCAGGGGTCGATGCGATAGACTATAGCAGGTATCCCGATAGAACGTTCCAGGAGAAGTGGCTTAGGGTGTATCTGCGGTCGTGGTACAGTGAGATGGGGAAGAACCCTGACTCGATCACGGATCAACACGTCGCTGATCTGTACGAGAAAGTGAACAAATTTGCGGTGGTGAGTGCATGATACACGGACCCATGGCATGCTCGTGTAATAATAATAATAATAATAATAATATACCGTGGCAGGTGTAGAGGTAGCGATAGTGAGAGAGTGAGAAAGAGCAAGAGAGAGAGAGAGAGAGAGAGGAGAGAGAGAGAGAGAGAGAGAGTTACGTAGGTGGTGTGACAAGCGGCTTGACCTGGTCGGCAACGGCAACAGGCGGGGAGCGTATCGCGTCGATTCCACGAAGGCAGAGCGAGAACTCGTCATGGAGGGACATCCAACCACCAGCAAGCTATAGCTGTATTCATCCCCTCTCATCCCTGTGATCCTGCTCCCAGCAAGCTATAGCTGCATTCATCCCCTCTCATCCCTGTGATCCTGCTCCCAGCAAGCTATAGCTGTATTCATCCCCTCTCATCCCTGTGATCCTGCTCCCAGCAAGCTATAGCTGCATTCATCCCCTCTCATCCCTGTTATCCTGCTCCGCAAGCAGCTATTATGCGTATCCATTCCCGTCTCGATCGCCTGTGTCCTGCTCCCAGCAAGCTATACGCATATAATTCCATCCTCTCATCCCTGTTATCCTCTCAGCCAGCAAGCTATAGCTGCATTCATCCCCTCTCATCCCTGCTGATCCTGCTCCCAGCAAGCCTAATAGCTAATTCATCCCTCTCAATCCTGCTGATCCTGCATCGAGCAAGCTATAGCTATATTCATCCCGTCTCTCCCTGTGATCCTTTGCTCACCAGCAAGCTAATGAGTCTGTATTCATCCCCCTCTCATCCTGTTATCCTGCTCCCGAGCAAGCATAATAGCTGTATTCATCCCCTCTCATCCCTGTTATCCTGCTCCCAGCAAGCTATAGCTGTATTCATCCCCTCTCATCCCTGTTATCCTGCTCCCAGCAAGCTATAGCTGTATTCATCCCCTGCCGCTAAGTTCTCATCCTGATTATCCCTGCTCCCAGCAGCTATAGCTGCATTCATCGCCTCTCATCCCTGTGATCTGTCGCCAGCAAGGCTATAAGCTGTATTCATCCCCTCTCATCCTGTTATGCCTGACTCACGCAGCAAGCCTATAGCTTATCTCATCCCCTCTCATCCTGTTATCCTCTCCAGCAGCTATAGCTGCATCTCATCACCTCTCATCCCTGTGAATGCTGCTCCAGCAAGCTGTATCGCCTGTATTCATCCCCTCTCATCCCTGTTATCCTGCTCCCAGCAAGCTAAGCTGCATTCATCCCCTCTCATCCCTGTGATCCCTGCTCCGCAGCAGCTATAGCTGCTTCATCCCTCTCATGCCCTGTTATCCTGCTCCCAGCAAGCCTATAGTGCTGCATTCATCCCCTCTCATCCCTGTGATCCTGCTCCCAGCAAGCTATAGCTGCATTCATCCCTAAACTATCATCTCTGTGATCCTGCCACCAGCAAGCTATAGCTGTATTCATCCCTCTCATCCCTGATGATCCTGCTCCCAGCAAAGCTATAGTGTATTCATGCCCCTCTCATCCCTGTGTCGCTGCTCCCAGCAAGTATAGCTTATAATTCATACCCTCTTCATCCCTGTTGATTCCTGGCCTCCGAGCAAGCTATAGCTGTATCATACCTCTCTCATCCTGTTTTATCCTGCTCCCAGCAAGCTATAGCTGATTCATCCCTCTCATCCCTGTTATACCTGCTCCCCAGCAAGCTATAGCTAATATTCATCCCCTCTCATCCGGCTGTGATCCTGTTCCGCAGCAAGCTAATAGCTATATTCATCCCCTCTCATCCTGTGATCCTGCCCCAGCAAGCTATATCTGTATTCATCCTCTCATCCCTGTTATCCCTGCTTCCCAGCAAAGCAAG